AATTCAGGCAATTTTGCTCCTCAAACACACATCTTAAGCAATTAACCTAAACCACAATGTTTACACAGACACTTAAGGATCAGTAGGTTAACATTTGAGCATAAAAGAGCAAAAAAGTACTTAATCAGGCACAAATTTCTTTAGCATTGAGCAATGCCACGTGCACATGTACCTAGAGCACCTGTCTAAAGTCAGTACTATAATCAAGTCATCCTGACTGATGGTGCTGGAGTGGTACAGCAAGCTGGTGCCTCCCCTTCTGCAAGGACCTGCCCTCCGCTGAAAAGCAGAGGTATTGCACTGGGGTTGAGAGCACTCAATATAAACGTTTTGCTAAAATTCACAAAGGTGATGGATACAGCTAATAGCTCCAATGGACGTTAGAACTGTGACACATTTGCAAAGGGGAAGGAGCAAAAATAGATTCCTAATTTTGTTTCAAGATAGCGTATAGAGGTTTGCAGTACAGCTAGATGATCCTGCAATGCAGGACTAAAGACCTATTAAAAAACCCCAATGGAAGTCCATAAACTAACTTTCTCAAGTCAGACACAGCTTATTACCTCTGTCACTTCGTCAGGACAGTGACCCAACCCATCAGAACAAAGCTGCCATTTTCGAATTACAGCGGAGCTTGTAGCTGAGGGACCTCTGTTATACAGTCTTGAGCAACAATAATAGCAGGAATGTCAAAGGAATCTTACTGAAGCAAGAACGCATTGTTCGCCTGCTTCACTCCTCAATTTGCATCTACATTCAGATGCAAGATTATATACACCAGGTTGTATACTTATTTCAAGAACTGCTAGTTGCTCTGATTTCCCTAGGGAAATCTAATGATGGAAAAGTTTATCGTCTTTCATGTTGTAGCTGGAGCAAATAAGAACCACTGCAAATATCCATTCTTTGTTCACCGAGATCTTAAAATAACAGCTGCACAACTCACCCCATCTGTGTCTTTTTGCAGAATACACAGAATGGTTGGGGTTTCCTTTTAATTTTTTTTTTTTTACACTCTATTTTAGATTTTCATACTACTCTATTTCTCTGAATGCAGAGAAATAGGAATGGGCCTGTTTCTTAAGAGATTAATGAGGCATTGTCCTGGCTATACACTGCCACTGAGTAAACAATATCTGCCAGCTCCTTAATCGGCAGACATCAGGTTAAGTCCTTTCAAGTCAGTAAAACTGCGAAGCTTTAGGCTAAGTGCTCTTATTCAGAGAGGTAAGGTGGATCATTCCTGACTATTGCACACAGCTATGCAAAAATTTCATTTGCAAATTAAACTTTACTTCTGCTTTCGACCTCTTTTCTCCATCTGTCCTTTGCTACTTGAAACACTTTGTCTGTCCTCCTTTCTTTCAAAAGTTGTTGGCAAGTGTGAGGCAAGCAATTATTATAATTTACATCTAACATCACAGCAGCCTAATACCACAGAGCTTACAGGTTTGCTCTGACAACCCAATACAAATGTCATATGTGGAGAACACAAAGATACAGGATCAGAGTCTCATCTGCTCTGCAACCTAGTGTATGAAATATAAATAGATTGAAATGTCTCTTTGATACTGCTTATTTCTAATTCACTCAAGCAGACTCCTTAGGAAATCTTATCCCCTATCACATTATCTAACAGTAGCATTATTCATAAGGCAAGACCACACACAAACATCCTGCTGTGTCTAACACCACATAAAATTCCACTTCTCCAACCCAGGTGGGTCGAGCCAGTAGTTCTTCCTGCCCTGCACCCTCCCAGCCCATTTTAGGATCTCAGTGGTGCTCCATGCCTCCTGCAATATTTTGTAATGTCTTCCTCCAAACCACCCATCCCAATAACAGCAGCACATCCTCCCAACTATATCCTTCCCCAACTTGTAACTGCCACATCCTCTCCACTGTCTTCTGATTTTAGGAAGCAGAACAAGAGGTGCTCCTGTTGCACGGGAAATTTGTCTTTCTAGTCCTTTCAGGTTTAAAGACTTCCACCAACCTATCATTAAGGCAGGGTGCACTTCAGGGCATCTGGAGAACCAGATGACGTTCACATCTTTATTACTGTCTATGGTCATACTTTCAGACTGTATCAAGCAGAAGGGGGAGGTCAGCAAACCTGCTACTCACTCAGAGACACACAGCAATGTTCTGGTCAGTGAAGCACTGTTTGATCTCATATATGTGGGTTATAACTTGTGTATCTGCCATCCCAGCACAATAGCATCCCTGGGTACTTCTCCACCTTGGTTTATTCCATTTCCTTTTCTTTTTGTTCATTCCAAGTCTCACCACATCGGACTACTGCATACAGACTACTGAAACGTGCAAGGGACACAACATCCTAGCTTATACTTCTTGCTTTTATTCGAGTACTCCATTAATAGCTTTTCATTGCTTTTAAGCCCAATACAAACCTGTTTCAGCTGCCTGCAGACTTTGTCTAACTCCTGTCCATCCCAGTTCTCTAAATTTGTTTAGCACTTGCTACTTCATTGCTCTAGCATTGACACTGGCCAAATTTCAGGAGGTAAGGGTAAACTAAGAGAATCAAATACATTATCCAGCGAACAGTGAAACAGAATTTACTATCCATACAATTGAATAGCCTCCATGGGCCTGTCCTAAACACCTGTGAAATAAGAAAGGGATGAAGACATGTAGCAACCACAAACCCTAAGGACAGCCTTGGTTTGATATTCAGCCAGTCCTTCTATTCAAGCATTTGTTTTGCTACCTAAGTTACATAGAAAAACAGGAGCTGGGCAAAACCAAATGCCTCAGCGCTGAACTTAAAAGCACTATTTCAAACACTAGTCAAACAGAATCAGCAATTTGGGGAAAGGAAGACTAAGAACAAACCTACACGATAAAGCTTTGCTCCCAGAAACACAAGGTCCTACCACCATCCATTTCCCTTCCAAACAGACAGACTCCACAGAAGAACTCATAAGAGTTCAAAAATCTCACTGGTATTTACTGAGGGTAGGTAAGTACTGATACACATTGTGGAAAGTTACTCTAGAGTAAACAAAAAGTGAATTCGACTGACTTATGAAACTGCATTTCAAACCTCTATAGTGGAGCTTATTCAGAATTAAAGTAGCTGTAATCCGCTCCAATATAACTCAATTTTGAAGAAAATTGAGTAAAATCGAGGCCACACTTAATAGCTATGGTACACAAAGGTAAGGAGAGGCAGACAGAGTGAAATGCTGGTACCAAATCAGATCAAGCTTCCCAATTCTCCCATGCAAAGAGTTCCTAAATGAATTTGGATTCCTTTGCATTACTTAACCTGATCCATCAAGCAGAGTCCTTACATCATGCACTGAAGGGCATTAGATTAGTCCTTACATTGTGCACTGAAGGGCATTCCATTCTGAGTACTGTGCAGTATGTGTTAGGAGGTACCTGCAATCATTTCAATCTCCCCAAAAGGGAGTGGGCTGGCCAAGTACATTCCCCCTGACTGCAGCAGTGGCAGCTGATCAAGGCACTTTGCCCTTGCCAAAAGGAGTGATGAGGGCCAACAAACCATACGAGATAAAAAGCTGAAACTCTTCCAGTACCGAGAACTGACTGCTAGATCCTGACACATAAGAAGACACCGCTCATTGCTACTCACACCTGAGTGAGGACTTTAATCAAAAGAGCACGAAATAGGTGATTAATTTTGCACATATAAGCTATACCCTTAGACTCAGCACCCTGTGGACTCCTGCTGCATTAGCATTGAAGCTCTAGTACAGTAATTACATCTTACTGGTCAGACACTTCCTCCACAAAAGGGGTATTTATAAGACTGTTAAAGTTGTCAAGGACTTCCAGCCTCAGATTCTGACTTCAGCCTTCCCAGTGTAAATTTCCATTCACAAAACTGCCTTAATTTCAATTGATGGTGTTCATTTTAGTTTTAAACCACCTACCTGCCACATAAACAGCCCTTACTAGCCTAGGCTGACTAGTCCTGACTTGTACTCATTAAAAACCAGCAGAAACAACTGATTAAGGCAGGGATCTGGAAAGAGTCCTGTATTGAGGCATGGAATCCCACAGTCACTTATTTTTTCACAGGGTGATTTTTTCCTGGGGGCTGTGTGCCTTGACTCATTTTGTAATTCCCAGGGGAGCAAAATGAATATGTGAAGCATAGTGAGGAACAGTCTTTTATAAAGGAATCAGCATCTCACCAAACTAAACCCCAGCTTCACTTCACTCTGAGGTTTGCCAAACCTCACAGTGAAGTCCTGGACTTGAGCAGCAAGAGCAGCTCACTTCCCGGTCTTCAGCTGAACAGGACCCACAATATACACTAACGCCAACTACAGCAAGCACTCACTACTCAAAGTACAGCTTTGAGTGGCATCAAATTACATTTTGATAAAATACATCAGGGATATGGCTCAAGCCTCTGCTAAATCATGGACATCTGGTACCTTATTTATCTTTGGTTTCACAGCAGTGTCCTTGTGCTAGCACATTTGCTTCCTGACATCTCAGCCTTTTGAGAGTTAATGATTGGCAAAACGAGAATTGCCAAATCTGAAGGATTTAATTTCCAATTTAAACCAAATTTAACCTCTTAAAATGTTTTCTGCCTAAATTTATCTTTCTGCTCCGGACTTCAGATCATCACTCTCACCAGGGTAGGCATTTGGAGTAGATAGCTACCAAAGTTGAGTAAAAAAATAATTCAAGGCTACTCTGCAAAAGATGTCCTCACAAACCTCTCCCTCTTCTCTGAACAGTTCAAGGAAACCCACACCACCACTAACCACTCCCTTCTCGAAGGTCTCATCCTCCAAGGACAGGTTAAAGCATGGTCAGGAATGACTGGCAGCTTGTTAGAGCTGTTAAAGACTGGTTCAGACATGACTCAACTTCATCCATGTCAAGTGGGCAACTTCTGCTGAAATACAGGACGCTGTAACATGCATTGGGAATAGCAGCAGCACCTTAAAAAAGCAAACACTGCAATGGCATAGTGGCTTAATACTCACACTCAGCAGGAGGCACTTGTTTTCTTTGATGGCACCTATGCAGCCCACGAAGCCAATGATCATGACAAATGTCCCTGTGACGATCAGTAGGTTGGCAGCTGACAGGGACGGGAAAGAAGAGGAGAGGGTGGCAAAATTTCCTTGGGTAACAGCCAGCCAGATGCCTACTCCAAGGATTCCACAGCCTCCCAACTGGGAAAATAAAGAGAAACAGAGAAACTCAGTTATTGTATCCAAGCAGCCCCAGATATTAATCATATCAATATGGCAGTGGTAGAATGGCTCTGCTGGGGTAAATCCAGCAGTCACACCTTACAAAAAGTCTTTCCCTATGGCACTTTCAGTAGGGAAAACAGACAAAGGAGAAAGAAAAAAAAATTGTGGAGGGGGAACTCATCGGTAAGATGTAACACTCAAGAAAAAGACACAGATTTCCTAAATCCAAGACATGACTTCAAATATCAGGTCTCTTCCTTTCTAGTGAAAAAGCAGACACTGAGTAAAAGAGAAATTCCCAAAGATTCAGATCTCAAAGGCATTGAAAATATCCATATCCTACTTAGGTATCTCAGAGAGCTGCCCAGAATGGCTGAAGCACTTTTGATCCCCTGTTCTTCCCATCCCAATACACCATCTCTCATCCCTGGCACATGCCATAAGCATCCCCTGGTAGGATACCTCACACCTCTTCTTAGTTCCTGTCCAAGATCTAGCCTCCCTTGGAAGAAAGAGAGCATTTTGAGTAAAGGGGCCAGAGAAGGAGGGAGAATCCTCTTGTAACATTAAAGAAAACCCAAACAGATGTTTACTCCTAATGTGGCCACTGGTTTGATAATTCAGTCCTCAGAAGAGGACTTGGTTGGTTCAGGAAAAGTTTGATAGGGGAGCAGTAGTAGAGGCTTCCCAGGCATGTGAATAAGAAGGGAGGATGCCAGTGCAGGCAGCAGTCACAACAAAATCATAAAATTTACCATTATTAAATACATAAGGAATTTTTTTTAAAATGCAAACATTTATAGGTGTGCTGCTTATAATTGTGAGAAAGCCGGCACAATTGTAACAATGTGAGCAATTAAACAGAATTAAACCAAAGGGGATTTTGCATTATTATACAGTCACACAGCAGAGCATCACTTAGGTTTCTTTCTTTCCTGCTTTCTCTTTAAAATAACCAATTTTTATTGAGTTTTATAATTGCACTTGATTATCCAAATCAATTAAAGGCTAGGAAAGAAATTGTGTTCACAGAGTAGTAAGCCAGACAGGAGCGTATCAATTAAATGTCTGCATAAAGTGGATGAACATAAGGCAGCTCATGAACTAGGGACGGAAAAAGCTAATTCTGGGGCAGAGCTAAGCCTCAGAAATGAAACACAGAAGAGGAACACAACAGCCAAAGTAATTTCTTATACTAATTGCTAAGGTTGCCTCTGCATGCCACTGAATTCCCCCTCAATAAGGGACAATAAAGGCAGCTGTGTCTCAAGGCAGGACTCCTCACCCCAGTTGCAAACCAGCCTGTTTTGTTCAGAACTAAGGAGCCAAACTATACCTCATTGTAATGTACCTCAGATGCATCATCCTGCATGTCTCCACTGAGAGAAGGCAGACTCCAGGAGACAAGGAAAAATGAAATCATCTCATTCAGCAGCCTTTTCGTATACAGGCATCCCGTATCACCACACTCACCCTTTTGCAAGCACTATGGAGGGAGCACAGTCCATGCCCTGACCACAAACATACACTGGAAGCACCTCCCCCACTTATGGACCACGATCTTTAACATGTTCTAAAATAACTGAAGAATAACCAGGGGAGAGGAGGGGGGAAGAATACTTAAAGAAGGTAACCCATAGCAAATCACTTAAAGCAACTGAGGGGATATGAACAAAACCTATCAATATGACAACAAAGGAAAAAATGGAAAAGGAAAAAAAAAAAAGGAATAAATTCCCTAAAATGGGAATAAAACTCTGAAGGTATACTAGACTACAAAATAGCATCAAAGGAGAGGTGGCAGACACGCAAGTTAAAACTGAACTGGTCAGAGCGCTCAAATACAGTCAGGAGTAGCACTAAACTGGCTGGGGAATACGATGGAAAGCACAACTGCGCTTCTGCCTCCGCAGCCTGGAGGATGTTCTGCCTCAAATTCAGCCTCAAGACCTGCAGGCACAGCGAGGCCACACAAATGGCCAGTGAAGCCTAACGAAGCAGATGCCCAGCAGCAGCAGAGGCAGCACCTTGCAATACATTTAGTTATTATCTTCAGTTCTTTGTTCTGAAGCAATTCAACAGCACCAATAAGAGGCAGCACATTTCATCACCTTTCGTACTCCCCATGTTGCTACACTGCTTTGGGTGACAGTGACACCTACAACCATCATTTCTGTTATGGGAGGTGGGTCTCGCCAAGGATGCTGCTGTGTTTGGTAAAGGCAAGACCTATTTGCCCGCTCCTCCATCATCCGTTAAATTCTTTATGATGTACAATACATACTGCTTGAGACGTTGTTGCCCCTAGGACATTTGATTCCAGTGTCTTCTCCCTTCAAATTCATTTTTGTCTGTGGAAACTGGGAATTCACCAGTGGCACAAAACATCACAAAACCAGGAGACGGTTCACACAAAATGCCGTGACTGTGGCTGTACACATTTAGATCACGGAGAAATATTTTGGGTCAGTTGGCCAGCAGGAGTATCTCACTATGTTGCCCTTGCTTCAGAGGTACTCTAATATACATCAGGTTCTCTAGCAGCTCATTATCTTACTATTTTTGAATTTTCTTAGGTTGATTAACCAAACCCTGAAGCGCACAAAGGGATCCTTTGAGCATTAAACCATCTGGCTCAAACTGGATTTCACAAAGCGCTGCTTAGGAAATGTCAGCACGCAGCACTGAGGTCTGCTCCACTTCAGTTTAGCTCTGTTCATTTTCCCACAACAGAATGTTCCCTCTCATGGTCCTTGAATAAAGTTGCTAAACTGTCACACCAGGCCCTGGGAAACAGGGGCTGCCCTTAAGTCTAGTCTAAACTGCTCTTTAAAGCCCCCTTTCAGCCAAGGAGTGAAGCACACCTGTAGGTCTCCATCCAGTGACCACAATAATACTCAAGCACCTGGTTAAGGAAATGCTTAATGGAACCAAGACCCACCAAGACAGCCACAGAAGCCTTTCCAATGATATCATAGCAGAATATTTTCTGTTCCCAAATATTCAATAAACTCACTTTCTCCACCCCACCCCTCATTCAGAAGCGAACAGCAGCGTAATTGCCAGTCTAAGACACAGGGATCAGAGGGATCACGTTTATTTACTCTGCATCAGAGCGAAGAGAAAACTGTTGTAGTTGGTTCTATGCTGCCTGTCTGTTTTGATTTCTTCGTCTTGGTATCTAAAGAGCTGTTAAGTTATGGATAATTTTACGGAGTTATTTATGATGTTCCCTTTCCTCCACTTTCTCTCTCTCTCCACCATCCCCAACCCCTAGTCCTTGTTTGTGCCAAACAGTCAGAAGCAGAGTGATGAGATAATAAGCCTTGACAGCTTTCAGGGCTTGCCGAGATGTGAAATTAAACAAAACCAAAACCATTAACAGGGCTACTCTTGACAATTTGAGGGCTTCCATGCAAACAGTGAAGCTGTCATGGTTGAAAGAGAAAACATTAAAACAAAAAAGACTAGTGAGAAGTCTACAGCTTGAACCTGATCTACTGACAGCCAAATACGAGTCTGTATTGACTCCATGTGGTGAGCGCAGGGCTGACTTTTTTAAAACACAAAACAACAAATCCCGCTCAAAGATGTCAGGCTATTGACAACAGCATTTTTTTAATCCCCTTGTGAAAAAATTAACACATTATTTGCCTAATTGTTCATTATAATCCTTTCTGTTGCAAACAAGGCAGTCACAGAAAAAAAAAATAGTTTCCTCTAACTTTTTTTTTTCCAATAAATGTGACAATTTTTTGTAAAATCTTTTATTCTAAGGCCAAAACAGAGGGACATCAGAAAGGATAGTGTCATAGTCCTCAGACTTAGGAGGTTTGAGCTGTCCGTTCCAGGACAGACCTCAGTGTAAATCTCCAATAGGCTGTTCAGTATGGCTGCGCCTAAGTTGCAAAATCGTGAATACAAAGACACAAGTAGTCGGTTCTTTGCAAACCCCGGACTTTGTGGAAGGAGCAGTTTATTCTGCTCAAGACAAATTGCTCACAGGCATTTATACAGCAGAGTCAAAGCGGGTGGCTTACTCTGAAAGCACAGATTCAGTCTGTCCTTCCTTCCCCAAGAGAAACACTGACACGTCTGCACGCACTCTCTTGGCAGAAAAGCTGCCTGTGGAATTAGATCCTCCAAATTGTTCTAATGGGCTAGAAAATAAATTATTCAGACTTCAGTGCATACATTTAGAATTGATCTTACAGTATGGTAAACAAAGCAATCCCAAGCAGGCCCGGATATATGCATGTTGTTGGAGAAAATTATTCTGAAGTTATAGCTACACTCTTAAAATACTGCAGGACAAATTGCTTCATTGTTCATGATAATGGTATTGGTGTCTTTAAGTGGGTTTTTTATTGGTTTTATTGCACAGAAAATGCATCTAATCAAGGCTTCTCATATTGTATCTGATCAGGATCTACCCATCATACTTCATCCTTTAGAAAAAAAAAAAAAAAAAAAAAAAGGAAAATAATTGGGCACTCAGCTAGATTAAACTCTTTCAACATTATGGGCATTTGTATGTTTGCCTTACTTGACCCTCCTCCCCTCCTTATTTTTAATGTTCACTTACAGTTTGAATTTCAGGGTTTTTTTCTTGCTTGCTTTGCTTAGCATCAGCCTATTTTCAGAGACAGGATTACAGATACAGACAGTAGCCAGAGTTGAAGAGTTAAGTCCCTGTTTCTCCTTACCTACATATCACACTCTTGGATTTGTGTCAATGAAAGCATGGTTTATTTCAAACCAAAGTTTAGAAACCACTTAATTCACCAAATTAATCAAATTTAGAAACAAATTCTAAATCTCTTCCTCTCCCTCGGATCCATTGGACTTAGAAAAGCTGTATTTCTTCCCCAGTGGGCATATGGATCCTATCTAGACTCTTCTCTCTCAGCCTTAGCAAATCTGGAGTAAAGACCTGTTAAACTCTACACACCCAGTCCACTTGATCTTTTGCAGTT